GGGTCAGAAGTTATAGAGAAATTTCCAGTGGAAAACCTGAAATGTTGCTGTAGTTCCTCACACAAATACCAGGTTGCTGAGGGATGTTTCAATCCACAGACAAATTACTATCTGAAATTAATATTCTAAATAAGACTGAAGTTCATCTGTCCAACCAGTCATACAAGTCTTCGGTATTTTTGGTTTGGCATTTCTGGAGTTGTAAGAGGGGGTAGAAGAAGCCTGTAGATTTGCCATTTCTTTTTTTTTTAAATCCAGCTTTTTAAATTATGTCATTAAAAGATTTTGAAATTTAGTTATCCAATTGCATAATTATGCTTTACTAATATAAGTGGGGTTGGAATGCAACAGAACCGTTTTAATTGGATCATGAAGCCTTTTTGTGTATGTTCTTTGTATTTTTATGTGTGAAAATCTTCAGTGTTTGTCCTGCAATTTTGATGGAACATGTTATAGTAAGCATTTTCTGCATTGGTTTGCAGTCCTTGTTGTCAGGCATGCAAAGCTGCTTTTCCAGCTGCCTAACTGGGAAGTAAAATCCTCTCTGGTAATGGAGATTGACCAGAGCAAATATTGTCTGCATTGTGCATTTCCGTTTACTAAAAGGTAGAAAACTGTCAGTTTTGTAGTTATTGTCCTCTTAACTCATGAGCAGAACTGTTCTTTGTGCTGCTACTGTGGCTGAAAGCTATGACTATAACTGGAAAGAGAGAGCTTCCTCTTCACAAAGAGGAAGATTCAGGAGTGCAGGGACAAAATTATCATCTTCCTATTATCCCATTAGTTTTAGCACTAGGAAAAAGACAGAAATGTTGCTTTAAGAGCATGAGAGTTGCTTCAAAATCACATGCTCCTCGCAGAAAATCAGGTTTCTGAATGGGATGTGTGGGCTTACAGGAAACCTATTAATTAATTAGACTTCTTCTCTGGGACTTTGTTCCCAGTTGTAGTAGTAGCTTCTTCCACCTGATGACCTGTGTGCCAAGTAAAAAAGCTAGCAACTTTTCCAAAGTCTGTTTTTTTACCAAGAAGCACAGAGAGTACCCCTGTGGAGGGGCATAAGCATGTTTGTCTCAAACATTCTGACTGTTGTGCTGTGACAGGAAAGTTGGGATTGGGTGGGAGGGTCCTGCCGAGGCAGGGCAGTGCTGTTGTGAACCAGCTTCCCTTTCATTGCTGGGCTTTTAATTCAGCCTGGAAGCTCGAGCCTGTGGCAAGAGAAGGGTCAAGTCCWGGGCACCTCACTAAAGGGGCTCCCCAACCACCACAGACCTCCCCCCACCAACTCATTTCCTGGAGGGCACTAAAGGGCTCACGGTCTGTGTGCCAACAGCACAAATGGTGTGAAAAATAATGGGATGTGCACTAGGGAAAGTGTACAAGGGGGAGGAATCAGTCCCAGGCTTTTGTTGAGCCCCCATCTGTACCATCCACAGTGGCAGGATGATGCGGGATCTAAGAACTGGTAGCCTTTTTCCTTCACTTTCTTGCTTTGCAATCTTTATCCTCTCTTGTTCTATCCCAGCAAGTGTGGCAACTGGATGTTACCCCTTGCTCTGTGCCAAAGTTTGCTGGGATAGTTGGGAGCTGGTTAAAATTCGTTGTAAAAGTTAAGAGCTTGTTAGCTAACACTTTTATAACTAAATAGTGGGATAGTTTTTGGAGTTAAGGTGGCTGTATAATAAAGGATAAGAGTTCCCTGAYATTGGACTGCTGTCTTTGTTCAGCCTGATGAGAAGTTCTACTGAATTTCTGGGTTGTTACAATCCCTMCTCCTCACTTGAAAAGCATGGCAGGCTTGCTTACACCTCCCAAGAATGGCTTTTATGGTGAAGTCTCACTGGGACCATTGGTCCTTTTGTGAAGGAAAGTCAGGACTGACCTCACCTTTCTTCCTGGTAGTGAACTTTGTTTTCCTTGGATCAGTTGTATTGATTTTATTGCTCTTGTTGTCCTGCGCAGCGTGATTCTTCTCTTGCAGCTCTCCTCTTGGCTCACATGTTTTCCACTTCATATTTCTTTGAGGAGACAGAAACCTTAGTAATTACATCAAAACTAATTAAGAGCTCAATCACATGCCTTGATGTCACAGCAGTACTTCAATGCACTTTTCTGTGCTTTCAATTTATAAAAGGAATTTTATTACATATATATGATTATACATTGTATAATGTGGAAGGAATTTGTGCAAGGGAAGCGTCTTTCTAGTTCAAAACTAAGTGTTTGAGAGCTTTGGCTAATACAGACTGTCACCTATTTTGGTCTTTATTAGCTGTTTGTTTTCTTAGAGCATGCTCTAAGTTACAAAGTGTCTGCATGTGAGAACTTGGCTTTAGGTGAGAGGCAGGGGGTGTGTGCTGGGTCCCTTCACTGAGACTTTCCAGTAGGAAGGATTAGATGATAAATATTCTTCCTGTAAGTTCTCTCCACAGAAAGAAGTTATTGAGGTATGAATGCTGTGAGAATGGAATTGGAAATAGAGATTGCAGATGAGTAAAACTGGTTAACAGTTTTGTCTCATGATGAATTATCAAGGATTATGGGCAGCTGTTATTTGAAGTATTTTAACTTTGTCCTGAATAGCTCAAGAGTAACACATGGAACTGGTTATTTTAAAATATTGCAGGAACAAGAGAAAAGCTAATTCTTAAAGTGATTGGTGACTCTCCTTTGGCCTTGCAAGTAGAGGAAAAAGACACATCATGTATTCTGTAGCAGCAGAAATATTGAAGCTGACCTTTTTCAGTCACTTCTAGTATTGTCTACAGTAGCAGTGCATGGATTTTGAAACTGGAAGCTTCGGATAAGTGAAGGAAGTAGAGAGAAATCAAATCTTAGCAGGGTAAGATTAGCTGGGTATCTTCTGTGCAAATCCTGTTTCTTTGTATTGCATCAGCAAGGAAGGATGTAAGTCTTGAACTGTTATTATGAGTACATGAGTTATTTTCTTTCAGAATCCTTGCTGGGATTGGCAAGCTGTCTTTTGCAGTGTTTCTGGTTGAGAGTCAAAAAAACGGTTCTGCCTGAACATTGTATCATTCTTGTGCCTGCCACTTGYTGGCCAGTTACCACAGCTAAGGGGGACTGGCTGCAAAAACCCAGCAGAGGCTCTTTCTTAAGCATACTGGAGGGAAAAAATACATCCTTTTCTCACTGAGATGTGTCTCAGATGGAGATTGGGTTTTGTTTGGTCTCCCTGAGGGAGAAATAAGTTTTCTAAGTTCTACTACCATCTTTTTTCTCTTTCCTAGGATATGATGGAGCTCCTGGAGGAAGATCTCACCTGTCCCATTTGCTGTAGCCTKTTTGATGATCCTCGAGTCCTGCCCTGTTCACACAATTTCTGCAGAAAGTGTCTGGAAGGAATTCTTGAGGGAAATGTGCGAAATGTGCTTTGGAGGCCATCCCCTTTCAAGTGCCCCACATGCAGGAAGGAGACTCCTGTTACTGGAGTCAACAGCTTGCAGGTCAACTATTCCCTGAAAGGTATCGTGGAGAAGTACAACAAAATCAAAGTAACTCCAAAAATGCCTGTGTGCAAAGTGCACAGCGGGCAGCCACTTAACATTTTTTGCAGGACAGACATGCAGCTGATCTGTGGGGTTTGTGCCACCCGTGGTGACCATACAAAGCATGTTTTCTGTTCCATTGAAGAAGCTTATTCCCAGGAGAAGCGGGCTTTTGAAACCCTGTTTCAGGGCTTTGAAACTTGGCGTTGTGGAGATGCCCTCTCACGGCTGGATACCTTAGAGACCAGTAAGAGGAAAGCTCTGCAGATGCTGACAAAAGATTCTGACAAAGTGAAGGAGTTCTTTGAGAAGCTGCAGCACACTCTGGAGCAGAAGCGAAATGAGATTCTCTCTGACTTTGAGACCATGAAGCTTGCGGTGATGCAGGCCTATGATCCAGAAATCAATAAACTGAACACGATTCTGCAGGAGCAGCGGATGGCTTTTAACATTGCAGAGGCCTTCAAAGATGTGTCTGAACCCATTATATTTCTGCAACAGATGCAGGAGTTCAGGGAAAAGATCAAGGTGCTCAAAGAAACCCCTTTACCTTGTTCCACTGTGGACATCAACCCCACAATGAAGAGCTTTGATACTAGCCAGTGGAATGGAATAAAATTAGTTGATGTGGACAAACTTTCCTTGCCTCAGGAAAATAATACTTTCAAGTTCAAGATTCCTTCAGTCTTTTCACGCAGATTTATAGTGAACTCTCTTATTTTCTTGCTTATTCTTGCTGTCACCAGAATGTCCTTTGTGGAGTCAGTCRTTGACAATCTCCAGTGCTGGAAATCTCAGTTCCTTACAATTAGCTTGTCCTATTTGGCAGATACCGTGGAGATAGCAGATCATGCAGTCTTTTACTGGGAACAGATGACAGATGGAGCCTCACTTCTAAGAGAAAAGTGTAAAAACTATACATTGGTTGTACTGGATAATGTYGCACAGTTTGTGTGCAAATATAAACTGTTGTGAAGTGTCTGCTGGAATGTAAGTGAGATCTGGGGAAGAAAACATGGAACTTCTTAAATTAATTGTTCTTTTCAGACTTCCCAGTAAAAACACTCAAGGATTCAAAATTATTCCAAAATATTCATAATGTTCACATAGTTTGAGCACTGTTAAACTGGAAGGTGAAATGGAGCTTTGAAAAACACTYTGTGGGTTCTTCTTTCAGCAATGATTATGGGAATATTAGTCACTGTAAATAATTCTTCTTACCAAAATATAGGGCCAAACTGTACTTAGTTTGATGTTAATGTAATTGTAGAATAAGATAAAAACTTTTAGTTAAAAAAAAATCTAACTGGGAGATGGTTTGGAAAGAGGAAGAAGAGTTGGAATTGAGATGAGCTGACAGGCTTGCTGAGGACTGCCATTCCTCTGCAAAACACAGCATGCTTCATTCCCCTTCCGGAACTAGCTTCTATCTGATAGGTTACTTCTCACTGAAATAGCTACATGTTTTGGTTTGGCGTTTTGGTTTTTTTTTTTGTATAATCAAACGTTGTAATTACCCTGTGCATTCAGATTATGAGTTCTATACAAACATGTATCTCTGGGGCAAGCATAAATTGTAGAGATAATAAGAATAAGCTGCAAGGCAGTATGTACTTTGCAGATAGTTCATACTTTGCAGTTTACTTTTCCAACATCAGATTGTTGGGGTAACTAAGCTGTTTTGTTAGATCCATGTTTCTCTGAAGCCACACTTCCTTAAAAACTGGCCTTAAAGTTAAGAACTTAGTGCAGTGAAAGGCATGCAGGGGTCTGCCACAGGAAGGCAGGACTTTMCCCCTGCAGAGGTGGCAGGTAAAATAGCTACTTTTCCCTCTCTGCCTCTCCAGATTGCAGTTCCAGAATCCAGGAAAAATGATTGGATGATTCCTTGAATAGATTGTGTCATGTATCAGGTGTATAGACATTGTTGGTGTTCGAAGTGCTTTAGCAGTGGAACTTGTAGAGGTTCTTCTGCTGTTAACTGTATTTTTGTGTATGTTGTTCCAGGAGCCAATTGAATTTTCTCGTTGTATTGGCCTTAGATAACAGTGATTTAAAGGGACCTTTTAGACTGGGTTCTCTGAAGTGCCCTTCTTTTGGAGCGTATGGTACTGAAATGTCTTGCTTGAAGCATATCTAGCCTCTTTTTGCAATGGTCTTATGAACGGCAGCAGTGTGTGGAATGAAAGCATTAAACTGACATTTCTAGAAAATGAACATAACGTGTGCCATACTTTGGGAATATTTGTTGGCCTCTCTCAAGGTTTAATAAGTTGTGACAGTTAATTCACTGTATTCCAGTAGTCCTTGCAAGCTGTTCATTTCAAAAATAAAACAATAAATTCCAGGAATCAAAGTTTCCAAGCAACCAAACCCAGCAAACAAAACTATTGTACATGATATTTTCATCTTTGTTGCCTGGGAATCCTGTCGCTGCTCCACGCCTTGCTCCAAACACTTGCTAGAAGCACAAAATGGTTCTCGCAGCTCTTGCTGTTTAGGAAAGATCAAGTCATAGACACATTGATCAGAGAGTTACAACTCCTGAGTGGCCGAGGTAGCCATGAGTAGTCGAGAGGTGGTCATTCTGAGCGTGGGAGGTGTGAGATTTGTAACCCGGGCGTCTACCTTGCAGCAGTTTCCTGAGTCCAGACTGGCACGGATGTTGAATGATGAGGACCGTGAATTTAAACTGGTGAGTGGAGAGTTTTTTGTAGACAGAGACGGAGCTTTGTTTAGTTACATCTTGGACTTCTTGAGAACTCTCCAGGTCTCCTTACYGACTGATTTCACAGATTATCAGAGACTGCAGAGAGAAGCAGAATTCTATGGACTCTGCCACTTGGCTGACCTCCTGAACCAGGAACATTTGCTGAAGCCGAGGCTGGAGATCTTGGAAGTGTGTTTTTCTCTTCAAGAAATGCAGGCCTTTTTCAGGATCTTTTGTTCCTGCAGTACCACCATTGAGTCACTAGCTGAGCAKATCATTGTGTTTACAGGGCAACAGTCAGGACAGGGCTGGAACAGCCCTTTTCCTTCTCAGACACCGCTCATTCCGCTTCCTTTGGAAAGACCTTCTCATCACGACATGTTTTTTCAGTGTGGTACTGAGTATTCTGCTGGTGACCAGTTTGTGGCCAGGTACTGTACCTAGTGTGACTTCTCATTATAGAGATCTCTTTGTGACTTCCAGTTCATGAAGTGTGCCCTATGTGCTAGCAGAGCTCGTTTCAAAGAAATTAAAAGCAAATAAATGTTTCCTTTTTTCTGCTAGTTTAATGTTATAATTTTCTAGTTCTGAAACACACAGCTTAATTTCTGTTACACTGATTTGCCTTTCAGCTTTCTAAAATACTATTCTTGATGTTTGTTTATGAGCTGTCTTGGGTCTTTTTCCCTCTGCCTTTTCCTCACTCACTTTAGAATTTCACAGTGTCACCTTCTAGAAAACATGAAAAGCACAGTAAAATGAAGCAAAGAAAACAAAGTAAAAGAGTGAAATATGGGGTGGGGGGAAGCCTAAAATCTCCACTAGCTCATGGTCCAAAAGGCTTTCGTATGCAAAACAGGCAACAGAGAATGGCTAAGCAGTGTTAAATACATCAGTGAAACTAAGGCAGCATTTCAGGAACTGGAAAGCTTTTGTAGAGTTTTTTATTACGGGGAGGGAGAAGAGACAGATTATGAACTATATGCTTCACAATGGGTTTTCTTTGAATTCAGAGCCAGGTTCTGGGCTTTTTTTTTTAAGATAACAGTATATCAGTAATTTTTGTGATGGCAGTATTGTATTCAAATGACAGCTTAGGTTTTTTAAACAGTCTTTTGCTGGATATCTCTATTTTATGGAGACATGTTCTTACTGTATAAGAAAATGTTAACCTAATTTGTCTTCTATGGCTGTTAGAATATATGGATTTTTATGGAAACTTCATTGAAATATTTCCGATAGGGTTATTCTATATGAATATATGGACCAACACAGCAGTCTTGATTATTTAAAAAATAAAGTTTATCTTTCTTCCAGCTTTCTTYGGCTAAGCAAGTAAAGTAAAAACTACTTTACATTTGTGAAGCAATATATATTTGTGTGCCAAACCTTAACTTTGTAACATACTACTAATTTTAATGGACTAACAATTGGTTGAGTAGGTTATGGCAACTTAAGGAGTGGGGAAAATATTTCCGGTTTTTTAATTTATTTTTTCAGACGTGATAAAAATTCTGCAGATCAATAGAGCTTRTCTTTAGTAATGAAACAAGTCAAATTTGATTTTTGCCTTGCTGAATTTCTATCTCCTCAATCTTTGTGATGACATGGACTTTTTTGTGCTTTCCATGGATGTTTGGTGTACTTGCCTGTGAACTGTGGAACAGTTTCACCCCTGTGAGTTTATATATTTTGTAATAGCATTTTTAACTGACTTCTGCTCCTTAGAATGTCTGGATAGATTCTTACACTGTACTTTATATCAAGTGAAATCATTTGAGGCCATGTGAAAGTAATTTTCATATTTGTTACCACAAGACCTGGTGTACAAGGTAACTTTGCAATAAATGTCACTGTTTATAGAGAGAGATCCTGTGTGTTGGAAAGTGATGCTCTTGGGGTGCATGTGACTTCGTTGTCCATCATTTATTCTAACCTGAAAAACTGTTGCAGCATTGCAGAGGCTGCTGCTCCCTTCTCCTCCATTTGAGATGACATGGGGATTGTCACAGCTATTTCTTAAGTAAGTTTCATGGCGGGGGAGAGTGTGAAAGAGAAGTGCTTCTTCCCCACCATGTAACTGGATGAACTGGGAATTATTCTTAATGAAGGAAAGAGTTTAGTTGTCCTTAAAGGAGGGAAAAAATATCCAGAGCCTTGGTTGCTGTAAACACAGTGCAGCTGTGCTGACCTACACTGTCAAGTAGTAGTTAAACCATGTTTGTAACTGCTTTTTTTCTTCTGATTTTAGGTATGTTTCCATAAAACCTGATAATAGAAAGCTGATTAATGGTACTAATGTGCTAGGCTTGCTGCTTGACACTTTACTCAGAGATGGATTTCGCCTTATAAGCACCAGGACAGTCGCCAGTGAAGAGAAGGTTGAATGCTACAGTTTTGAGAGGATGAAGAGGGCAGCTGGCATTACCATCATGGTGAACCAAACCCCAGGGACATCTGGGGTAGCACAGGCAAAGAGAAGCCAAGTGCAGAAAGGGAAATGAAGGCTTTTTCTTTCATCTTTTGAAGGTGGAAAAGGGATGTGTCAGCACTAGTGGCCWTTTTTTTTTTTAATTGGCTTGTTTGAAACTGCAACTATTGAGGGAAGTAACAAACTCATTCTCTTTCAAGTATTTGGGGATGGGGGAAAGTTGCTTTCCTGCCTCTTACCATTCCACCCTCTTTCACTCTAAATAAAGGTACTCCAGATTCAATACTGGGTTTGTGGACCAGATTTCAGCATTTCCAAGGGTTGTTTTTATTTTTCTCCGTGGCTAAAATTTACTTAAGGACTCATAAAGCTTCAGCAATTCCTTCTAGAAAATTGTTTTTACATTCTGTGCTAATCTGTAAGTAGATTTTAAAAACATGGTAATACATGAAGAAATAGCATCTTGATGCAACTGTCATCCCAACATTTTGGAGAAGTGGCTGGAAGAGGAATGCAAACCCCAATAATTGATTAGTGCTTCTACTTCTCACTGACTCTCTTGCAGTTGGCTGAGAACAATATAAGGGGAACAACCCGAGCTGTACTGCTGTATGGCTTTGTGAAAGCCATTGCTGAGGTGTGTGAAATAATGTCTCTTGCAGAACACACCTCTGTCCTCTCCTCCCACTCCAGTGTCATTAAGTTGCTCTGGTTCTGAGAATTAAATGATAAAGGTCTTTGTGAACCAAAGGTCAGTTAATTTTTAGAGCTTTAACCATAAAAGGATGAAAATGTGATAAACAGTCCTTCAGATGAAAGAGTTTGTACAGTTTTAAATAAAATGTTACAAAGGATTTTTTTTGGTGCCTATTAAGTACAATACAGTTGGAAGGTTTGGCATAAGCGTCTTTAAAAGCCTTGGGAATATTAGCCATCTGTAAAGATGCTGAAATTCGCTCAGGTACTGAGAGAGGTAAATCAAAGAAACTGTAAATTAAGAATCTTTTGTCCTTCTTTCAAGGCAGGGAAAGAAGACAGCAATAACTTCAGGGATTCATTAGTTGCATCTCATTTTTGTTGATGATAAAACACCATCTTCCCAAGGCTACAAATAGCCCAGGAGAACTCCACTGAGCTTTCTTGGCTGACCAATTAAATCTGGCTTTTTATTCATTTTAAAATGTGAATGCATTACTTTATTTGCAGCACTTGATAATGAGGGTGGGCAGTGGGACTCATTTTTTTTATTTTTTACCCCAAGGAATTTCAATGAAATGGATCTTCCCAGACAGGTGGTGCCACTATTAACATCTCTTTTCTTTGGCTACTGCTCTGGGGCATTTCAGCTTGACCCAAGTTCAGAAGTTCAGCAGAAACAGTGAGGTCCTCTTTGCTTGTTCTAGAGCTGTCTGGGTTGAGAATAATGTGATTATGGGACCACATCTCCTAAGCTGCCTACATGTTATGTAATGTAATAGATGTTGAGGAATGTAAGAGTGAATGCTTTCATTTCAAATGGGATTTTTTTTTTTGTTAGTAATGTCATTATGTTCATATATGTCTTGAACTAAGATATTTCTTACAGTGAGAACCATCATTCACTGAACAACCTCCCCACAGATGGGTCTCCATCATTGCAAGTTTTGAAGAGGATACTAAATGAGGTCATGGAGGCTCCATTTTACATGAAAGGCTAGACCAGATGATCTCTCGAGTTCCCTTCCAGCCTGGCCTGTTCCATGATTCTGTGGAGACCTTCAGTAAAGGCCTGTGCCATGGTGGGCTTTGAGGTCAAACCACTGTTGGGTGTCAGAGCAGACAAGCTGTGTGGAATGACCATGCCCACAGGCTGCTGTGCTACAGAGACAACACTTTTTGTTTGGAAACAATAATGTTGATTATTGAGGGAGTCATTGACTGTGGATATTGTAGGTGGAGAGACTAGCCAATAATAATAAGAAGCGCAAGACAAAAAACTTTTTACAGGGAAAGTTAAAAAAATGGACTTGAGGCTGTATTTAGACATGCTCTAAATGATCACAAATAACTGTGATGGAAGCTGAGACTAGTTTCAGAACCCCTCATAGTAAGAGTTACACTGTTTCACCTACCACAAAAGTAGTGACTTTGTTTTCCTTACTGAAGCAGCCACTTGAAAAATTGATATTTGAGGGTGGGGTGTTTTTTTTGTTTGTTTGTTTTTAAATAAAGTGAAAGAAAAGATGAAATATTTCAATTGTTAAAGAGCCCGGAAGTTTTAACCCATGCCATCACACATGTTCCATGTCTYTGAAAAAATTAGTATTTCATACAACCATTTCAGTAACGATTTATGATAGGCTGGACACTTTCTGGTTCCCCTCATGGGTTAGTTCTTATTTAGCACTAGAATAATTCTATGAATGCAATATTTGGCTCTGGACAATATACCAGTGCAAGTTGCTCTCATGTGAAGAACCGTATGTGCTTTACCTCACCCTTGGGTAACAGTGTGCTGTAACTCTGGGCTTCTTCTGGAAGCAAAGCACATGACCGTCAAAAAGCTTGGGTTCCCAGGGTTCTTCTAGCATTTATTCTTACTTAGCTCTGAACTTAGAAGTATCACCTTCTGTCACTTTGTGTGCCTGCAGAGAACATGACTAGGCTCTTATACAATGCTTTCATTTTTTTTTTTTTTTTAAACTGGTAGTTCCTTAAATAAGTTTGAGAGCATTTGTGTGAACAACCTGATAGAAATGTGTTGAAAATGTCTGACTGATACCAGTAAGATAACCATGACTTTAATGGAAGATTAATTGAATTAATTGATTTAATTGAAGCTGGTTCTTCAAGGAAAGCACCTTCCTGGATTTCTCTAGACAGAAAAAGGAAGCAGTGATGGTAGAGCTACAGGTATTGTGTAGCTTCAAGCTACAACTAAATAGCAGTAATTATGGAGGAAAGGTAAAATTATGTTAATTTGCAGACAAATTATAAAACTAGCATCAATTTACTGAGAGCATCTTCAGCTGGCCTCCACCTTGAAAGATTATTTATGCTACTGTGAAGTGTTGATGAGCCAGGATGGCAATTTTTGTGTGCCGTCTTTGGACTGGTATGCAGTATAACCTGCAGGCACCTAGGCAGGAATGTACAAGTAGTGTCCAATGTTTTTACTGCACCTTCACTTCTGAAGCCTCAAACAAGCAGGGATACAGCAGAAAGCACAGTKCGTGGTGTATGCTCAGCAGAGTTGTTCACACAGAAGGGAACAGCTATGCAAGTGAATTTGGCTGATGGGAACTACAAGTGCTTTGTCAAAACCAGATTATGTACTAAACTGAGTACTTCCACCCAATCTTGGCAGGCAAGTTAACTCTGGTATCTCACAACACAATCTCTGCTAGACTAGCAGCGTGTTGTAGGTGACTTGGTCGTGCTTTTACATGCGACAGAACCAGAAGCTCTGATTCCTCACATCTAGCTCTATTTTTGAGGAAATGGGATTTTGAGTAATTTAGACTTTTATTTCCAGAGAAGTAATTTGTTATCCCTGACATAATCCACTTCCTCCAGTCATTGTGAGCTTTCTTAAGGGAATTCCTTTTTTCCTGGGAAGATGCAAAATTAGCTGGTTTCAGTAAACTTAACTCCTGTATTTGCTTTTTTGTTCTTCTCTGGATTCAGCAGAAATGTGTGAACTGTTCCACTGCCTGAGCTGTAGAAAGGGACTGCCACAGTGCAGGGGCAGCTGCTGCACTCACAGTGAGCTCTCTGTTGCTTTCTAACAGGCAAGCAGAGACAGAGCCCTAGAGGGAAGGGAAACGGAACATTGAGGTAACACTATCATCCTGTCCCAYACACAGGGACTGTAGTTTACATGGCAGGAGATCATCTAAAACCAGGTGACAGCTTGATGGATTTGCAAAAGGTGGATGATTCAGAAAGACAATGCCTGAATTGCTTTACACTTTCTCATCTTAATCATTTTTCCCTCCTTTATGGTTGGATTTCATTCTATATTTCTATATTCAAGACCATCAAGGACTTTGCCATTACAATCTTGTGGTGCCTGTTGGATATCCCAGCAGGATAGAGGTACCACATACTTTTTGCATTCCCCTGTTCTTGCACTGTGTTCACTTCCTTTTCTAGTGACTGGTTACATTTTTTGTGTTTTTAAGTAACTTTCTGCCTGCTTCTTAACATACTGGGAAGTCTCTCTTGTGTCATTCTTATCCCTTTTGGGGAAATGTCATTTATTTACCACCTGAATTATTCAGTAACCTACTGATACCAGGAAGGAGAGTCTACTGTGAAATACCTTCTTGTTCTTTGGGTATTRATTTCAATATGACAGTTCAGGAGGGTTTTTGTTTCTTTGGGAAATGCAGTCACTGCATCCTAATAGGTTCTGCATTCAGCTCTCACATGATTGTATAATTGACTAAGAATATATGTCTAAATAAAGCTCTTGAAATTGTATGACTAAGATACTATTTAGACTAAGACTGATCTCTTTGCACTGGCCTCAGTACTAGGCAGTTTCCCCGTTTACTAAATAATTCTGAACCTTTTTTCACTTATGTGAATTATTGAATTTCATGAAAGTAGTAGAAGAGTCCTTCCTATGATTCTGTATATGAAAAATTAATAGCCATAGGGCAAAACAATGATACTGGAATGACTACATCCTGCCCAGAGGTAGTATCTTCAGTTAACTTTGGAGAAGCTTTTTTGCTCAGTGAGCTCTTCTCAGTTTCTACCTATTTTGATTGGTTTCCAGTGTTCAAAAATTGTTCCTTTAATCTAACCTAGGCAAGGCTGATGTGCTTTTGTCAGGCTCTGGAGTGGGTAAGTCTCAGGTATATCCCACACAACCTGGGTGATACTTCGTTTTGATCCACAGCTAAATTCAGTACCAGAGAACCACCAAAGTGGATCAAAAGTCCTGTTTGAGTTCACAATGAAGCATTCATAACTCCAAATACTTTTAAAAAAAAAAAAAAAAGAAAAATTTGTTCCCAGATTGCTGGAAAGTGTTACTAAATATTCATTGAGAAACAAGCTGGGAGTTATCCAAGAGGAGGGAGGCTCATTCCCTCTTATTCCTKCCCTCTGATTTGTACTGAACCATTGCCAGGCTTTTACTTTACAAGGCTTATTTTTATCGATTTTCAACAATAAACAGTGGGAGTATCTTCAATAAAAGATTTACAGTGCATCATGAGGAAATACAACTCCCTACCAAATATTRTATTGATCTTTTCCCAAATGCTACTGAAACAGCATATAAAACCTCAA